GAGTTATCATTTGAGAGACAATTGAATGAAATGTTAGAAAATTTCCGAAAATATTCATTGGATTTGAAAACCAATTGTTTTTGTGATACAAATAAACAGACTTTTGATTTGTTGGATCAGTTGGACACCCGATACAAGACATTCACTCATCGCATACAAAGTCGGGAACCATTGGATCCGAAGACATGTCAGACAACACGTAAACAAATGGTCAGCACTTGTGAGGAATCAAATGAATCAGAAGTGGTGTCAAAGAGAGTGGAAAGTAGTCAACGATTGAGTACTTCTTCACTGAAGAAGAATATGAAAAGTAAAAGTGTTTCAAACGAAACACAACTGACGAAGGGATCAAATAAAACGACTTCATCTCTGAAGACATTTAAATGTGATTTCATTGGTTGTGGAAAAGCCTTCAAACATAGCAATGACTGTAAAAGACATGAATTCACACACTCTGTGGACAAACGATTCAAATGTGCGGTCAATGGCTGTGACTATAGCTGTATCGCAAGACGTGAAATGAGTGCTCACATGAATAAACACAATGGCGTTAAACCCTATGTCTGTACTCATGAGTCGTGTGGTAAAGGGTTTTACAACAAAAATAATCTGCGAATCCATACCAGTAGTCACCTCAAGACAAAGATTGTCACAAACGATAAGCCATTTGTTTGCGATTATAAAGGATGTAATAAACGGTTTCCTTATAAACCCAATCTCTATCAACACGTAAACTGTTGCCATACGACACGACTATACAAATGTGAGGAACCTGGATGTGGTCTGACGTATAAGAGTGAGTCCTCACTGAATAGTCACCGGTGGAAGCACTCGGATCAGGTGTACGCGTGCGAGTGGCCCGGCTGTGAGTACACCACATGTAACCCGACATATATGCCGTGGGATGTGGTCTGACGTATAAGAGTGAGTCCTCACTGAATAGTCACCGGTGGAAGCACTCGGATCAGGTGTACGCGTGCGAGTGGCCCGGCTGTGAGTACACCACATGTAACCCGACATATATGCCGCAACATAAGATACAACGGCATAGCACTGGGCACCGGTATGCCTGTGAGTGGCCCGGATGTGAGTATCGCACTAATAGGAGGGACTGTCTTAAGAATCACATGAGTTATCATAACACAGACCGACAACACGCCTGTGTTTGGCCTGAATGTGGCCAACGGTTTATGACAGACAAGGCTTTGAGGAAACATATGATTACACACTCGGGTCCACCCATTCCTTGCGATTGGAAGGGCTGTCAGTTTAAGACTAAACATAAAGGATCGTTAAAAACCCATAAGAAACTGATCCACGGACTCATTGTGTGATTATTAAGTTTATATTCTACTTGCAGTATATACTGTACTGTACAGTACAGGTACTATAATATGACATTAATTTGTAATTTATTTATTTAAATTGCATAAATGTAATCAAAAATGTAATAAATTTATAATATATTTTATAATTTTTTAAAATACCAATGTAGTCTACTATTATTATACTGTATTTATTTTGATTCTACCGTAAATTAAAGTTGTAATGATTTTGACTTAATTTAGACATAATTCGTGTGAAATGTTTGCAAAAGTCGTGCATTTGTTGACAATACGGGTCACGTCTTCGTGATCACCGGCATATTCACTTGAATCGAGTGCATGCGTGTCATTGGCCCGGATGTGAGTACCGCACCAATTGGTCTCAATCTCTCTATTATCACAAACTGAGCCACACTTCGGACTACAATCACGTGTGTGTTTGGCCTGAATGTGGCAAACGGTTTAAGAGTAGAGACTATTTAAGACGACATCTGTTCACACACTCCGCTCCAGTGTTTGCCTGCGATGTCAATGACTGTCTCTTTAAGACTAAACGCAAAATATTTTTGACACAACATAAGAGACTTAAACATTAATAGTTGTATTAATTGCTGTCAATTATAAATTATATTACGGTATAAATTTTTTTATTCAATATTTATATTGATTGAGTGATTCATTCACTGATTCTGTCGATGACCACAAGAATTACTGAAAAGGTCTACCCTTTGAGTGCTTAACGGAATGTGACTTAAGGTTCCACTTCTTGTGAGACAATTTGTGTGTATTTTGGATAACATTAGAAACAATGCATTAGTTTTGATACAAAACTGTAAATGCGATGAAAATCAACACTTAATACAAACCATTCATACATTCAATCATAACTACAATCAATTTACGAGTAGTTATAATGTCATTAACACTACAACCAATGAGACTTATATAAAAAGTGAACTTGTTGCAAATGATGAAAACAATGGTAATTATGATCTGCTTTTTAAATGCGTTAATAAACTGTGAATTAAATTGATTTTTGTATTGATTTCAGAGACTTATATCAATCAAAGTAATACTGATTTGCAGTCAATGCCCGCAAAGAGTAGAAAACGGAAATCAAAGGCAAAACCAGTGGTAAAAGCTGTCAAACATTCAAAACAATCGTTCAATACCTGCGAGAAGACAACTAAACGAAAGGGTTTACTCCCGAAGACTGTGAAGACATTTAAATGCCATTTCATTGGCTGTGATAAAGCATTTACACGAAGAGGTCATATGGACAGACATTTTGAGACCCATTCTGTCGTCAAACCTGAATATAAATGTGATTTCAATGGCTGCGAGGAAGTGTTCAATACTGCGGGCAGTCTTAAGACACATTCAAAGGTTCACAAGACATTCAAATGTTTAGCCAAAGGATGTGTCTATCGGTGTATCAGTAATGAACAACTGGAGAGTCATATGGTTAGACATCCCGGTGTGAAGTCCTACGTATGTATGCGTAAGTCGAGTGGTAAACGGTGTGGTCAGAGGTTTTACAGTAAATGCTTACTTTTGACTCACAAACAAACCGTTCATTTCATGGGCAAAGAGTTTGCCTGTCATTACGTCGACTGTAATAAAAGATTTACTGCTAAACAATACCTATTGGCACACATCAAGCATTTGCACATTAATACCGATATTAAACCGTTTGCCTGTGAGGAACCGGGATGTAAAAAGCGGTTTAAACGCAAATCGCAATTAACTTCACACCAACTGTTCAAACACACAGACATGTCATCAATTGAAAAGCAATATAAATGCGATTTCAATGGATGTGAAAAAGCATTTATTTTAGCGGAACGACTGAAAAATCATCAAAAGATACATCAAATGGACAAACAGTACAAGTGTTCAGTGAATGGATGCGATTATTCGACGCTAAATAAGTTTAATATGGAGTCCCATATGAATAGACATAACGGCGTTAAGCCGTATGTCTGTAGCTACGAGTCGTGTGGGACCGGCTTTTACAGCAAATATGCTCTTAATAATCACCTCCAAAACGTGCACTCATTAAACCCGGATTATAACCTGACAATTGGCAAACCGGTTAAATGCGATCACCCGGGATGTGGTCGAGAGTTCAAAAACCGTATGTCACTTCATAAGCATCATTGGGTGCATTCGGGTCGTGTGTTTGCGTGTCATTGGCCCGGATGTGACTTTACCACTAAGAATCCTCTGGGAGTTCGTAGACATCAAGTCACTCACAGCGATGATCAGCCGTATGTCTGTGATTGGCCCGGATGTGAGTATAGGACCAAAACGCCAGAAAGACTTCGAGACCATAAGATGATTCACAGCTCGGACTGCAATTACGTGTGTGTTTGGCCTGAATGTGGCAAACGGTTCAAGTGTCAGGAGTATCTCAAAAATCATGAGTTCACACATTCGGCGCCTACATTCGCCTGCGATTGGGAGGGCTGTCTGTATAAGACTAAACGCAAGACCTTTTTGACACAACACAAGAAACGTAGACACGATGTCAAGAGTTATTAAGTGTTGTATTTATAATTTGAAATTCAAACTTATATTTAAAGCATATTTAAGATACATTTAACAGTATGTCAATTAATATTGTGTATTAATTGTTCAATACAATATTTAGTGAACTAGTAGACTATTAATAGCACATTATTTAGATAAGAATACCGGTGCTCCCGATTGGACGCAACCATTGGTGACCACCGATTATAACATGTATTGAAGGCAAACATTACTTTTTTATTGTAATGAATGAATGGATCTTATGAAGTAAGTCCTGGAACCGCTGGTCATTATTTCCCAGATTAGCCGATGGGTGCAACGCCCGCACCAGTAGTCGTGGCCCTTCCATGGGCTCCATTTCCACACATTCGCATTCATTGCCCGCCTGTCTTAAGCACACCTCCAAAACGCTGACAAACTTTTGCGTCAATTTCTCTCTCAACACAACTATGAGGTTGTGTTCACTCGTGTCTGCAGAGGAATACAAGATTTTATGGCAAAAATCAGTCACAAAATTCTTACACAAAGACTACAAACCGCTGGAATTGATATCAAATCTGAAACCATTGGGAGAGTTATCGCCCAAAAACAATCGTTTATTCACTTCGGTGTTGAACTCAAGGTGCGGCCTAATCATGAGCACCGGTAGTGTGGGATCGGTAGAGTAGCGGACGCTTACGATCTCGTCAAACGGCACCAGAATCTGGTATTTGATTCGTTTGTCACAACTGTTTGCGTCAATGTTTGACAATTTAAGGCCCGAGTTGATCAACTCGACGGCCCGGATGTCCGACCTATAGGTGCCTAACAGCAGGTATTCCGCGAATAAAATCATTGGTAAACCAAACAAATCGTTTCCCAACTCTTTGACTGTCATCTCTTTGGCGTCCAAATTGGCAAGACTTGCGGTCAGTTCGTCGACACTCTTGAGTTCGCATTGAATACCAATACTATTGTCGTCGTCTTCGGTCTCCCCGTCCTCTTCAGTCGACTCATCCACTCCTACTTCAGTCATATGAGTGCCGCTCCCGTCCCACGGCTCACGAAGAGCTGATCTCACCGTCGACTCCGATTGCGGCCACTCTTCGCGTCTTTGCGATGTCTGCAACCACGGGATCTGTCGTACGAGTGGTCTAACCGTCGAGTTCACGGCCATCGGCTGTATGTGAGGGCCAGAGGTATGGCCGCACTCACTGCACATGCGATCAGACAATGGATTGCACGCTATGGCCGACCGTTCCCCGCATTGGGTGCACTTGTATTTGGGCACAAGTATGGTGTGATGGGCGGACTGATCCGATTGGGTGTCTGCGCCGAAGTGAAAGCGCGACCGATTGAAACACCTGTCCTCGTGGTGGCGCACGTCTGGGAGCGCCAAACGGGTGGCCGTACAGTATCGGCCGTCAAAGTGGCGACACTTAACCCGTATGTCCGACAGCCAGTCCTCAATCTCGCCGACCAGTAGGCGACACCTGTCCGGCCTATAGGGCTGTCTGTCCACCGAACACGTGGCCGAGTGTTTGGCCCTTTCGGTCATACATTGGGTGCACGCGTTGTGATCACAACCCGACAGACGGACGCCGTCCTCGAGAAGTAGGCCACAGAAGCAACACTTGCATCCGATCGGGATTTCCAGTTCATCCCTATCCGTGCAAATGGACAGCAAATCGAAACCCATTTCCGGTGATAATGACTGTAAGATTCAAAGCAAACCAATAGTTTAGTTATGACTGAAACACAGGAAATGCAGTGAAAGTATGCATTAGTATCCAAATTCTTGCTATAAGTCTATGAAGTGCAACAAATCAGTTGAAAGTTCAAACATTCAGAGATCAAAGTATTTATTTTTTATTCATATTTGAAATCTTTTATATTTTTATGAATACAATATTACTAATAGTAATACAAAAGTGATAATCATAGACTATCATAGCAGTGCTGTAATAACAAAAATAGTATTCATTGATATACTGTTCATAGAGTACAGTATTATGAACTTCATAATTTATTAGTATCTTATGATATGGTAGAATAATTTAATTATTCAATTGTGAATAATTGTTAATAGCCAATAAGATTCTCATAAACTTTATGACATAAAGTTACCAACTTGGTAATACCAAGTCATATTTTATTCTAAAGCATTGCGTGATTCAATGTATAAATTAATTTATTGATTATTGAATTAGAAATAAAATTAAATACAATTAGTATAATTATTATTCCTATTCTATACACAACTTTGTAAAAATTAGTTAAATTAAATTATATTTTAAAATTTTTTATTCTAGAGTAGAAAATAATTACCAACATTTTTCTCATATTATAAATAAATAAATAAATACAGTATATTATTAATTAAATTATTATCTAATAAAACAATTTCCTAGGATATTATTTGTCACATCAATTTTAATGATAATTAAGGGACAGATATTGCCATCATTTATAAGTCAGTTACACACGGATAGTATGACCGATAGAATTGACTGCTATTTCGGAGACTATCACTCTTACTGCGGGCCCTATTCAACAGTAGCCAACCCTCGGGCGCCTCCATTGGCAGGCAGTGGTCACCAGTAATCCACTTCAGTATTAAGACCAGAGTTTGTTTGATCCTATCGTTCAACATAATTATAATATACTGTTCCCTCGAGTCTGAAGATATAAACAAAAATACATTTTAAATCTATAGAAAGTATAGTTTTTATGAAACTTTACAAACCATTGGAAGTGACATCAAATTTGAGTCCATTGGGGGACTGGTCTCCGAGGGACAGGTGCTCACGAAATTTAGCGCTCAACTCATTGGTCACTTGAATGAATAGCACCGGTAGGGACGGGTCGGTACAGTAGAACAGAGTTTGTATACCAGTGAACGGAATGATAATATTGGAGCGGAATCTGGTTTTCGGGCAATTCTTGGCGACACGTTTCATACGAATGGAGTCCTCCCTGACCTCCAGCGCTGTGATTGTCGTCTCAAATGTGCCAAACATTACGTACTTCACGAGCAATACGATGGG